AACAAAATAACTCTTTTTTTCAAGCACTTTCCCAAGCATATCGTGTGCTCCTGCCTTAACATCGAGCATATATCAACTTTAACCCACTAGATATCATGTGGAAGAGTCTTCAAACTTTCTCAAGCATACTTTGGTTCATGATTTTCTTGGTTAGCAAAGGGACTGCCATTGTTTCTACTCGAAAGCTGCAAAAAGACTCCTTTTAAACTCTAGCGGATGAAGAAGATTAAACAGGCACTCTAATGTCCATTTACCCAGAAAATTAACATAGAATATTTAAGGCTCTCCCTCCCCTCCCTCTATTTTTCTCCTCGTAAACCCTAGAAACTTTATCCAAACTTCCGTAAATCCCCCAAAGTTCTAGGTTTAGAATCGAGAAACCCCCTCCAAATCTCCTCACATGATCAGTCACTTGCCTGTATTCTCCTACGCTTGCTTGCCTTTGTCTCCACGGTACCTTTTCCATTTTCCTCCTCGGTCAACACTGCATGACTGAGAGAAGCGTTTACGAAGTAGCACAGGGGTCTGGTGAAGAAGATGTTTTTCAGCCCGCATGGAAGAATGTGCATGGAGAAGCAGCGAAAGGATTTTCAACAAAACACGGAAGAACTGACGAATGGTGAAACTACTCATATACCCTTTGAGAACAACATATGTTTTTAAGTTTCCTAAAAAATATGTCAACGAAAATGATTTTCAGCCCTACACGGAAGCATGTGTTTGGAGGGAGAAGCAAAGGGATTTTCAGCGAAACGTGGAAAGAATTGAAAAATAGTCAAATTACTCGTATACCCTTCAAGAAAATATATGTTTTAGGTTTCCTAAAAATGTGTTGGCAGTTAAAATATGGTGTTACCTACAGTGTTAATTTATTAAAAAATGCAGGAGGGTTAATTGCTTCAATTAAAATATCAAGGACCAATTTGATACAAGTGCCGAAGAACTACAACTTGTCTGGCACATGGCACCAACATATTCTGTTTTTCCCACAGGAGATTGCAAGTTTAGTGCAGCTATTTTCTTATATTGAGCATGAATAATAACCAGAAAAGAATAGATCAAGTATAGACCTATTTAAAATGGAAAAAAAAAAAATCACCTCTTGGGATCACATGGAAATGGGTCAGCCCAGAAGTAGTCGGCATCAAGGGCATCTCTGGCACATATCCTCTATAGAAATTAAAAAAAAAAAAGGCAAACATAGAACACAATTATTGTCAGTCTCTGGTTAAAATCAACCACAACTGAGGTTTCAATATCAAATCATATTGCTGTTGCTTGAGTTAAGACTGCTCAAATATGCCACTTCATTATAATAATTGCATAAAACATCATAGTAAGTGCACAGAAAACCCTAAGCAATAGGAGGGCATTGACATAGTTTTTCCTACAGAAGTGACTCTCTCAAATTGAAAACTAAATACAGGTGATACTACAGAACTAACTTAGTGTTGACCCTTTTAAGAGCAAAATAATTCTCAAGTCAGCATTGCCTACTAATGTCCATGCTAGTAGCCTTTGTACAGGAAAAAAATTCAAAATAATAAAGAGAAAATCAGAAATTTCTAAATCTCAATCAACAATTAAATATACTAAAACTAAATACTATTTCCTAAACATAAAGATATCGCAATAATTACAAAAATATATAAAATCCTTCATTCTAATATCATCTCGTTCTACACCACTAAGAAAGTATAAATTTGCTTCCAATTCAACACTTCTGCAAAAAACGATCACACTACGATAAGGGATGTTTGGTTAAGTCTGTTTGACAAGGGATAAAAATCACATATATATTGGGTAACTGTGTTTTGCCAAGTGGAGAACAATAATTAGGACCTTGTGGTTTGACCAAATATTCTTTCAGAAATGACCAATCCAGTTCCTATGTGTTCTTGGTCATTTTTTGAGACTCTTTTATAAGTATGCAAATGGAAACACGCCTAACCAAATTCTGATTGTGGCGTCCACTCCTGACGCTAGTGAAATAGAACTGATGGTGGAAAGCGACTTGCAAGTGGCTGTTTGCTGGACCTCTAGTAATGACATGCCTTAGAAGCTGTTTATGGAGTCCAACAAAATGAGGAACGGCATGGAGAAACTCATTTTTGCTTGGATATGGCCTGGATGTCTTGTTCTCTCTGGTTGTGTTTAAGACTTAGCGCTTCTGTTTTATTGGCGATTTCTGGGTGGTGCTCCTTTTTGGCCCCTGTTTGCCATGCTGCTGTTCTGGTGTTTGTTCTGTGTTCCTATGTTCTTGGGGTTCTCTGTACTTGTTTTTGTGCTTCTTGTTGTGCGCGTGGGCTGTTGGGTTCATGCTGTTCTGATGGATGGTTGTGGTGTGCTACTGTGTGGTTTGCTGTGCTTCCTTACTAGTGTCATATTATTTTCTTACGTTTCCAAAGAAAACAAAAAAGAAACACGCCTAATCTAACACATCTAAACTTGTTTCTAGTCCGTGTTATTTCCAGTGATGACTTCACCAACTTTCAACTTATAAAGATTCTTTTATCAAACAATTAGGAGAAATTTGTAAGCAAATAGAAACATACCTAACCAAACACATTGTGACTTGTTTTTCAGGAGGTTATAGAAAACACAGCTTATAGACTACGTATATTCATAAGCTTCTTAAAGAATTAGCAAATCCAAATGGCCCCTATGTAAAGGACTAACAGATAAATTATAAGCAGCTAAAAAAATGATGGCTTGATGATAAATAAAAGTTGAAATATTGAACGTGATACCTGGGATGGGTCAAGCGTCAGCAATCTCTCCAGTAAATCAAGGGCAAGACTGTCAAAACTATAAATTAAAACAAAAGAAAAAAAAACAAAATAGGATCTCCTGTACCAAGATGGGGAACCGAATTTTTTAAAAAAAATTGCAAGGAAATTGATCTTCTTCACTCACTGTTGGAAAACCTCCCTAACACGTCTCTTCATGGGTCTTGTTGGCTTGAGATTATCATACCAAGGAGTCAAGGAAGCCCCTGGCCAGTTATTTTCATCTGGTGACCCGCAAAGTTCAAATATCTTGTTCAATTGGTCAGGCTGCAACAAGAGGTATGAGTAAGAAAATAATTAAAAATAGGATATACCATATTAAATTGATTCTCCTATGCATAATTCTAAAAAGAAATTAGTGGCACAAACATTATTAGCTAGCACCACATTCAACTTCATACAATTTCTTAAATTTCTAATGCTCTTTGAAGAATCTACTTTTCTTCAAATGCTCATCAAGTCTGCTTTATTCCTTATATACGCTCTATATAAGAAAAGCAGCCAACACTATCAAGAAAATATAAACATACTCAAGTAGATTCATTTAACTAACTCTGTTATGTAGAATCAAAAAATAAAAAATGCATATTCGATGTAGAAAACTAACTATACCTCAAGTGATGTCGCAAAAACTTTGTACAATTCATTGCAGGACATGTGCAAAGTAAAGAAGAAATAATCAAAACTTATACTCCTCCATGAAGCTTATGTTTCAACTAAGATATCTAAATATTGTAATAATAAACAAGCAATCCAATGAATGATTCAAATTTTATTACTAATACTGCAGGGGAAATAGTTATGTCACTTTCTACATTAAAAAATCAAGTAATCAGACATACAAAAGGGAACCTTCATATGACGGATAGTAGATACCCTATTCTCATTGGAAACAACAGCCAAGCATCAAACTAATTTTGCATAACCTCTTTGGATCAGGAATTTGAATGTTAAAGCAAACTATTACAATCATCCCAGCCTCTCATTACAAGATTCATGGCATCTATAAAATGTAAATCATCAAGGAAAGTAAAGATATTAATTCATCATCATGATATAGCTTGGTGATATGAAGAAATCTAGGGCTCACCTCATCTTTGCCAGGCAAGATCGGTTTCCAATTCAAAAGCTCAGCAAAGATACAACCCACAGACCACATATCAACAGCTGGACCATATTTTGTGGCTCCAAGTAGCAACTCTGGGGGCCTGATGCATACATCAGTCTCAACCAGCTAAATATAAATTCAAACACATAAATAAAAACATACCTATACCACAAAGTAATAACACGATTAGTAAGATTTCCTCTATCGTTAGGAGGAAGATATCTTGCAAGTCCAAAATCTGCTATCTTCAAATTTCCCTCATTATTTATCAAAAGATTAGAACCTGCATGAAACTGAAGATCAAAAATAGCCAAAAATGCAACGGGTAAACACTCTAACCCTAAAATCACAATTCGATGACCACCTTTGATGTCCCGGTGAAGTATTTGATGGATATGACAATAATGAAGCCCAGTCAGCAGCTGTTTCATGTAACACTGTCAAAAAGAAAATTGTCAGTGGATTTTTCTGGTATAAGATATTCAAGATAGATTATAGAAAATGCATAAAGACACATCCCTGTGCTGAATGTAGAGAATATGATACCTTGATCTGGGGCACTGTAAATCTCACTCCAGGACGTTTATAAAGCCCCATCAAGTCATGGTCCATGTACTCAAACACCATGTAGATTCCACCTTTGTACTTACTATCATCTGCAGTCCCGAAAATACATAATTGAAAAAAATGAAGGTTAGCCAGAATACTTTTAGGATCATATTAAATTCTCTGTACAGGAAAAAAGTAAAAAATATAAACAGAACGAACTACATTAGATCAAATGCAGTAGTTTCACTCACCAGGTCTCCCTTGTTCATCCCTCCTACGACCTTCAAGGCAGAAATTTTATCAAGCAAAGGAAATATGCCGTTGCTATATATATCTGGAAATGATTTATGAACCAGGAAACCAAGTACCTGGAGAAGTAACAATTTCTTTCAGCTTTATAACATTTTCATGATCAAGCTCATTAAGAATCTTAATTTCTCGGATGGCGGTCACTGGAAGCTGGATAAAGAAATTTGAAACATGTCAACTCTTGAAGGAAAACAAATACACCTTACAATTTACATCCCTAACTTCCATATGAATAATATATAAAATCAAAAGAGCACAATAAGGAAAGAACAAACCCCCTCTGTTTCATTTTCCATGCGTATCCTTTTAAGAGCAACAATTTCCCCAGATTCGATTTCTCTGGCCATGTAAACCTGACTGGAAAAACATGCAACTAAATAACAACTATTCCGGAAGGCAAGCACATCTCAGAGAGATCTCATACTTCATTCCCAAGAAAACTCAACGGTTTAATCAATGTAGAAATTTTTAAACAGGAAATAGAATTGAGTTTCAATTTTTTTTTGAACTTTCCCACACAAGCACTGCTGGTGTTGTCTATAAAAAAAAAACTACTCACATACTTTTATTATCACTAAGGTGAGTTGGTGGTTTGTAAAGGAAACAAAAGGATTAAGCATGAGAATAACATCACTATTAAAAAAGATGCAAGATATACAATTAACATAAAATAAAAACTTTATCATTAAAATTAAACTCTTTCTTTCTTTCCTTTTCCGCCAATTTGGAGTAATGAGAAAATTTGATTTTAAGAACAAACTAGGTATGCACAAAATCGCTTGCTTTCATTTACTAGTTTTCTTATACTAAAAAATTTAAAAAGGTCATGCCGTGTTTTTCTTTCTTTTGCACTCACTCTCCTTAATTCAAGGATATGAGGTAAGGTACGAGAGAAAAAGATGGGAAAAAAACGAACTCAGGGCTATATTTGAAGCAAATGAACTTGATTTGTGGAAAAATTTTAAAAGTTTACACTTAATTCGTTTAAGTTAAATCCTCTTGCAAAATGAAAATTCACCCCCTGAACTCTCAATGGAATTGAAACAACTAATTCCAAATTCCATCACTATCTCTCAATAAAACTTATATGTTCTTTTCTATAAACAACAACATATATTATGGATTAGGATTTTTTTTTCTTTTCTATTCAGAAACAAGAAGTTCAAAATTTTGCAAGATTAGAATGTGAACGTGAACGTGAACAAAATCTTGCAATCTCTATTTAACTATGGATCACACTCTAATGAAAGTGTGTCTTGGGTTCTTGCTTAATTATTTTTTACTGCCAGAACCTCTTAATCATGTATGCACCAATAAATAAACCTAACTATTTCTAACATTCAGTCGAGAAATTAAAGAAAAAAAATCTGAAAAACAGAATGACAAACAAAGATCGCTCAGCCAAACCATGTATAATACAGCAGGCTGCGGAACAAAGCAATCCTATTAATAGAGAATAAGCAATCAGGAAAACATCGAAGCAAATACCCGCAATCAATATTAAATGCATATAATAGAAAAAGAAAATGAATGCAGAAGATGCTAAGTTCACCCGGTAGCCATGAAGTCGACTTAACAGCAACAAGAAATCAAGAATTTTCTTCAGAACCAAACAGAAACGGAAGCAATTGAGATAAAGGCAAGAAAACTAAAGAAGTACGTACCCGTAAGTTCCTTCACCAATCTGCTCCAATTTCTCAAAGCAGTCAATAGTGCGAGACCCCCCCCTCGGGGGCCATTCTCCGAAGTTAAGCTGTCCTACTTCCGCAATCTTACTCATTCTCTCTCTGAAAGAGAAGTACTCGTCTCGACTGTCTCGAAAAACTCGATCGGATTTCTTTTCCCAACCTTCGTGCCGCGCTTGAGAGTTTCCTGCTGCAAGGGCTGTAACTGATTTCTTTTCCTTCTCGCTCAAGGATCAAGAGTTTGTTTCAAAAGAAAATGTAGGAACCGTTTGGTTCCCGCTCACAAGTTTTTATACTTTTTTTTTTTTCCTTTTTGAAAGTTGGTTGTTATAACTTATTTGTTTAGCTACAAACAGGGTTTATAAGTATTTCTCTAAAAACAAAAAAAAAAAAGAAAACAGGTGTATAAGTATTAAAAAATAAATTTATTTATAATTAAATGTGTTTTTTATATAATTCAATTTTTTTAAAATAAATAAATTATATCTGTGAAATTTTTTGAAAACTTTAATTATATATAATTTGTCTTATTATTATATAGTTGGTAATAAACAGACACCTAATCATGATTTAATATCTTTTCAAAAATAAACCAAAATTATTAGATTAATTTATTATGCGATCACCCAGCATTATTTTTTAATATTATAAATAAAATTTTAAAAATCTATATAATTTACACAAAGTATATCTTTACAGAAAACTTAATGAAAAATAATAAAAATAAATCTCTAATAATAAGAACAAAAATTAATCTTTAAATAAAACTTTAAGTGAAATTAAAAAATTATATTCCAAAATTTTATTATTTTATTTACAATTCTAAGATCAATTTCTATTTTCTACAATATGAATTTCACACAAATTATTTTAAACATAATATTAAGTTGTTATACTATTTTAAATGAGTGTTCCCTTTTTATTTATTTGCACCTTCTAACAAATATAAGAGCTACAGTTATTTTGAAAAAAAAATAATTATTATTTTGAACACATTAAATGTTTAGTAAATTAAACCAGCAACATTAATTAAAAAAAAAAATTATTCGGGAATTTAAAAGGTTACAGTTCAATTCAAAAAAAAAATAATAAAATTACTTATTTGCATGTACGGTATGTTCTTCTTTTTATCCTTTATCAAGTTCCTACTCAGGCTGTAATAGCCCCGAAAATTTAAAATGAAATATGTGTATTAAAAATGTCAAATGCGGAAGCGAAGTCAAAATTTCGATTAACATCTCTTACACTAAAACCAGAAACGTGCTCAAAATATAAAAGATCAAACTAACTAAAAGAGAAACTCGAAAGTAAAAGCTATGAATATGACTATGGAGTCTTTAGGCATCCCATTCGTCGTCTTCCTACGGAACGGGCTCGGGAACAATGTCTTCCTGATATGAAATGATTAAATAAGGAATGAGCTACACTAGCCTAGTAAAGACATCA